CCGGGACAGCAACAACCTCAGCTGAGGCTAAAAGCATGTTGTAAAGCTGGGTTTGTACATCAACATCTCTCCTGGGTGAAGACGCCCGAGCCAAGGGTTAGGGAAACCCGGCGGGGTGATGCTCATTCTCCTGTCGCAGCAGCACAGACACCTCCACACACCGAATCACCCCAAAACCGGCTCAGATCCGCGGAAGGGAAAAGAGTCACCCCAGATGGGACTCGAACCCACAATCCCTGGCTTAGGAGGCCAGTGCCTTATCCATTAGGCCACTGGGGCTGCGCACAGGCGCCTTTTTTTTCAGTGCCGTGACTTAACTCTCTGCTGGCCAGAGGGGACGCGGGGTCCCGCACAGCCCCGGGGGCTCCCTCAGCACCAGGCAGCGCGGCCCCATCTCTGCCCACAGCGCAGGAAGGAGGCGGTGTTGGGGGGCCGGAGACCCCCGCCGAGGGCCCAGCTCCACCCGCAGGGCCTCAGCCCGCAAGCCCGCACCGGCGGGGCGGGAGGAGCCGGTGCCCACCGCCGGTTCCCGGTGCGCGGAGCCGCTCTCGAGCTTTCCCCGCTCCGGCGGCCCCGTTCGCTGCGAACCCCCCCGTGCGGGGGTGGAGGGCGAACAGTGGCTTTTGCGCGGCCCCAGTGGCCTAATGGATAAGGCACTGGCCTCCTAAGCCAGGGACTGTGGGTTCGAGTCCCACCTGGGGTGAGGGCGGCTTTTTTCTCCCCCTCCCTGCACCGGAACCCCAAGGGAAAGCATGGGCGGAAGGAGACACCGACCCCTGTAACTCACCAGGCGCTCCCTGCAGCAATAAAAGCCGCATCCTGCCCGACCCTGCCCCTTTATTCCATCCCCCGTAACCGGCAGCAGGTGCGGCTCAGCCCTCACCTTGTATCGGGCTCCGGTTCGTCTCCACCGCCGGCACAGGGCGCTCTGAACCGCTGTGGGGGTAACAAGCACGAACGGCCCCAGGGCGGGAGATCCCCCGGGCAAATCGCCCCCCAAAGGTGCCCCAGCACGGGCACCTAACCCACTGACACCCCAGGCGGGGCCGAACGCTGCACCCCCCAGCGAAATTAAACGGTTCGAAGCTCTCCCGTGGCTTTAAAACAACCACGAAGGGACTCGAACCCTCAATCTTCTGATCCGAAGTCAGACGCCTTATCCATTAGGCCACGTGGTCCCCCATAGCTCTGTTCTGGGGACGGTGGCAGACACCGGGGGTACCAGGGAGTCCCTGCCACCCCCTGTGCATCCTCCCCATTCCCATCCCGTCTGGGATCATGGCTTTTCCTCATGCCCAACGCTGGGGGGGGGGGAGTCCCTCCTGCCATGGGACCCCATGTGCTAGTTGGTCATCATAGACCCCCATTGCCACCCCCAGCCTCATACAGTTTACCCTGTATGTGCTGATGTCTGTCTGGAGCAATGACATTCCTCTCCTGCTACCAACCCAAGCCGTTCTGAACGCAAATATAACCCCAAATGCAGAGCTGACACCACCCAGGAGACACCCCCAACACAGAGCAGCTGGGGTCACCCTCCAGCTCCCAGGGGCACACAAGTCCAGGCTTTCCCTGCCACATCCCCATGGAAAGGCAAAGCCAACACCATCACATCCAGCTGAGGCTCTGTGTGAGCCTTAAGTGGGAGGGAAGCAGTGTGTGGACATTACTGGGAAAGAAAGAAAGATGGGGAGAGCCAGGACCCTGGAGACAACTTGACAGTAACAGCATTCAGTGTGATGGGCACAGTCAATGAGATACAAAGGAGGGCATTTAACCCCTGTTCGTTATCAGTAACACCTCCTGGTGCAGCTTGGCTTCTCCCCAGACCCTGCATTCCTCATCTAATCCTAAATAAACCTGCCACAGGGCAGGAAGGTGTTTTAACCTCTTCTATATCCATAGGGGTTTTGGGGACACGTTGGCTCCTGGGGTCCCTTCAGCTCAGCTTCAACCAGCGCAGCTTTTCTGCTGTGCCTCAAACTAAAGCTGAGCAGAAGCAGGCCGGAGAGCAAAGCCTGAAGGAGATTAGCACTTGCCATGTGCCTGGGCCTTCAGCAGGTTTGCTGCTCTCCAAGTCATTTTCTCCCACACCTAAGAGGGAAAAACTACTTAGAAAGAAACTTTAGGCTTTACTGGTGTGGTCTCACCCTGACCGCAGCTGCCTTTTATAATCCATTAACTCTGGAGGAAAAGACCCTCCAAGTAGCTTTTTAATGCAACAAACCCCAAATACACTTATGTGGAGGGCTCTGGTCCCTGGGCAGCAAAGCCGAACTGTGTGACCCCAGTGACCTGCCCCTCACTGAGATGCAGTTTCTGGCGGAGGGAAGCATCCTTCCCATCAGAGCTTGTCCTGCTCCGGGAAGAGGTTGGTGTGATACCGGCAAGGTTCTCATCCCCCAGCATCCATTGGCTTTCTGTTGGGGGTCAGATGCAGCTGATGGCACAGGGAGCATCCAGAGGAGGTAAAAATGCAGCTGAAGTTCCCTGCAGAGCCCTGAGCCAGACAGGGCTAATTAAACAGTGTTAACTGCTCTGCTTCTGCACCTTCTGGGCCACCTGGAAAGAACCCCCAGCCAGAACCATCCTTTCATTAACACCTCTCCAGATATCATCCTTTCATCAGCAGGTCCCAAGCATCCACCTTTGCACTGAGGCCCCGGGGCAGGTTATAGGTGCTCCTTGTTGCTTCCCTTCTTCATCGAATCATAGAATCCAGACCGGTTTGGGTTGGAAGGGACCTCATCCAGTTTCAATCCCTGCCACTGGGGACACCTTCCACTAGAGCAGCTTGCTCCAAGCCCTGTCGCTTTCATGAGCTCTAAGCTGTGACCACTGGCCAGGAGCAGATAACAGCATCATCCCAACACCATCGTGTACAGCTCCTGTACAGCAGCCTTTGTATTGCAGTCGTCGGCACAGAGAGCAAGCCTGGAGCTGCCGTGGGGAACTCACTGCCCCAAAACACGTATTGTGCACCAAGCACCCAAAGCCAGCTCCCGCCGGGCAGCAGCAGCAGGAGGAGGATGCCCGGCAGCTCTGCGTGGGCCTGGCGGCACTAAACCGGGGAGAAAACGGACAGAAACGGGGTTGGCACCCGCAAAACGTTGTGTGCTCACCCCAGATGGGACTCGAACCCACAATCCCTGGCTTAGGAGGCCAGTGCCTTATCCATTAGGCCACTGGGGCTGCGCACGGCGCGCGCCCCGGCCCGCGGGAACGGCCCGGCCCCGGCGCTGCGGGGGCTCGTGGAGCCCGCAGGGGAAGCGGGGGGGGAATCACCCGGGGGTCCCGGGGAACGGAGCCGGGATGCACCGGGAGCGGCAGGGCCGGCCGGGGGAACACGGGGCCAAAGCAGGTTCGGTTCTTCCCCCCACCCCGCCGGGGGAAGAGGCGAGAAGGGAGAAGCGGGAAAAGCTGGGAATGGGGAAGGGAAAAAAGGGTCGACCACGAAGGGACTCGAACCCTCAATCTTCTGATCCGAAGTCAGACGCCTTATCCATTAGGCCACGCGGTCACTGATACCGCAGCCCCCCAGCCATGCTGCCTACCCCCAGCCCACTCTCCCCACCGGTCCCACCGGGTCCCCCGGGATACCGGCACGGAGCATCCCGGGGCACGGCCGGGGAGGATCCGTTGTCTGCCGGGCAGGCGGAAAGCAAGGGTGGGATTCGCCGGCTGCGATCGCTGCGCTGGAGCCTGGGACGGTCCCGCAGGCAGGGCCGGGATGCTTCGCTGGGGAGAGGCAGAAGCGGGGTGATGCGGGGCATAGGCTCTCACTGAGCATCCAAGTCATCCCATCACCTCACCCAGCTTCGCAAGAGCCATAGAGTCCGGCCTCCCTCCCTGCTCTGCCTCCCATATGAGATGCTGCAGGAGGGATGCCGTGCAGAGCATGAAGATCCTTGCTGCAGCAGGACCCGGTGGGTACCAACGGTTTGAAGAGCAACAGGGCAAGTTTGCATCTCCAGTGTACTCACATCGCACCAGCTGCTGGCAGAAGGAAGGGATTGCTGGTGGCCACGTCAATTCTAGCACCATTATGGGGGTACAGCATTATCCCACCTCTAGTGATGCTATCACCCAGCAGTGTAAGCTCCTACAGCCAACACAACCCTCAAGCCCCAGCACAGAGATCACCTCTGCTTCTCCTTGTGCCCCTTGTATGCAATCCAAACCCACTCTTGTGGCCCATATGCTTCCCACCTCCTATCTCAGACACAGCCACACACCACAGTGAGGTGCCACCTCGGGTGTCCCAGCAGGATGGGGCTTTCCAGGAGGACAAGAGTTGGAGCTGCTCCCCTGCAAGGGAGCCATCACTTGGAGCACCTCAGGGTATCACTGGAATCACAGCAGTGATGGAGAGGAGAGAAGCTGAGGGAAAGAGACAGAGACGTTAAAAGAAAGGGTCTTTGAGCCTTTAATCTTATCTGTGAGGGCTCGGAGAACAGGACCCCAGGAGGCAGAAACAGATCAGTGGGTGTGTAAAAGGTTCAGTGCTCTGTGAAATGAGGACATCCTCCAACGCCCACAGCCTGGGCTGCTATGGAGCAGGACCAGGCTCAAAGGAGAGCAGCCTCTCCTCTGCATTCCCCCTCCCCTCACATCACACAAGCACTAATTCCTGATCCGTTTCAGTGGGGTTGCAGCAGACTCTCAGCCCAATAAATGAGACAAGATTTGCTTTGAGTAGCTCTGGCTCCTTGCCTTTTCTTTGTGGAGATGGACCCTTTTCTTTCCTCTGCCTCAAATCGTTGGGGTTGTTTTAATGACTTTATTTTTGCCTTCACCGCAACTAAAGTCTGCTCCCCTGAGTGCATCAGACCATTAGCAAGTCCTTCCTTCCAATGCAAATAAATACATTAGAAGTCTAGCTCCTGTTTACAGAATAGCTGTCCCTCATTAATAAATAGCAAATCAACTTCGACATAACAAGTGACGCGTCCTGCAACTGCTCATAAGACACCCGGGTACCATTTGTCTCCTTATTTAGAAGCAGGAGATGATGCAGCGAGCTTTTATAGCTATCCTCACCTTCTCTCTTGGGACAGGTAAGTGCAACAGGGATAGAAAAGCTTTGAGGAATTCTGTTCCCATCTACATGAGAAGGGATTTGCCTGTGTTAATGATGGTTTTCATCCCCACAGCTCCAGGCCCTTTCTCTTCTGGCACAGCTCTCATACAGGTTAAGAACTGCCTGATCCTTTTCCTGATTCAAGTGGAATTGTTTTCTCTAGCAGGGGCTGCTCCCAGGTACATCTGCACCTACTACGATGTGGTTGAGTACCTGAACATCTCCTCTCACAGCAAGCTGCATGCACACATACTGCCCAAGACAGACCTGAACAAGCCTGTGGAGGTCAAGATGGATTTCATGCTGATGGCTATTCTCTCTGTGGTAAGGACCCAAAGCTCCCGTTGAGTATAAGAGAAAACTGGGTAATTGCTAGGTTGGGGTCTGGGTCTTCTGCCAGGCAGGGCTGAGCCAGCAAGGCCACAGGGATGAGAATCAGCCCCTTTCACTTCAGCTCCCTGCTGTTCGGAAGTGGGTTTGGAAGATCTGGAGTATTTCCTCCCACCTGCTTCCAGGAAGAAGGGCAGAGGCAGGTTCAGGGGAGCTGCTTCACAGGAGGCTCTAAACCCAACCCCGCAAAGTGCCTCAGCTGAGCAATGCAATTGCAGGGCACTGGCATGTAAATGGTAACAAAACCCTGTTTCTTTATATAACCCATTGGACTGCTCCCACTCTTCATCTGCAAGATGAAGACCCTTGAGCTGAGCCCCTGCAATCTGTTCTGTCCACTGCAATAGGGTGACAGGGGCAAGCTCTGGGCTCTGCATGGGATGTACCTAAGACAGTCAGCAAGATCTTCCCTTTTGTTTTCCCAGGTTGAAAAGCTCCAGACGGTCACTTTTTACTTCGTTTTGAACCTGGTGGGTCCCTCAGCAGTGTTCCTCTCCTGCGACACCCAGCACAGAGGCTGCTGTTCGGCCCCAGCGCTCATTTCTCTCCTGTTTTACCCCAGGAGTGGAAAAACACTTTTGCAACCTGGAACCCACAGGATTTCTGTAACATTTCCAAAGTCATTCTGCCCATGGACTCCTATTGGTCTCCCCCCATCTTCATTGTAGAGCGGTATGTTCCCCTTCCGTTTCTATCTACTGCCTTAAGAGAAATACAATGGAATTAAAGTGTGGGTATTATTGTAGGAAATGGGATAAACTCATGTGGTTAAAAGTTGTTCCTATGAACTCTCAGGAGCCAAGAACCTTGTAATTTAGATTAATGGTGACCACGGTTCACACAAAGCACTTTGTGGCTCTGTAATACTGTAACATCACCAGAATGTCCTGCTTGGGCTGTAGTTAAAGCTGAGGAAGCAGCAGAGACCAGCAGTGCTGTGGAATGAAGCAACCCTTAGCAGTTAGTTGTGAGATACAGGATGAGCTCTGTGGGTATGAGAGGGATGGGCACCAGCTCTTTAGCTGGGGTGAAGGAGGGAGGCAGCTCTGCAGAGAGCAGAGCCACCACTGAGCCCTGTCCCAGATGAGAATGGAAGCAAAGGAGAGAGGAAGGAGCTCAATAGGATGTGCAGAACTACAAACCTGAGTTCAGAGGCACTCACCAGCCCTTCCTCAAGCCCAGGTTTCCTCCTCACTGCTACATCCCATAGGTGGGTGACAGCACAAAGCCCCCATGGAAGGATGCTTACAGCCCAGCATCCTGGAGCTCCATTGTTCTCCCCTTTTGTTTCCTCCAGAGTGAATGGACAAAACCCCAACTTGGATTACATGAGCATCACGCACAACGGCGGCTTCAACTCCACTCAGCCCTTCCAGGCGACCTTAACCTGCAGCTTGATGATCTTCAAGTTCCCCTTCGACACCCAGACCTGCAACTTGAGCGTAGCCTCATTTCTCTACCCAGGTACAGCAGCAAGCTGGGCTTTACCACATCAGCTGGGCTAAACTTGCAGGGAGGGGAAGAGATGGGATGGACCCCGGCTCCCTCCTGGGTGCCAGCACCACAGGCTCACAATGGGTTAGTAGGGGTTGAGGTCACATAACACAAGGGGAAATGAGGCAAAACACTGTATTCTGTTTGGCACGTTTCCCAGTGGCATCTCGGGATTTATCCGGATGTTCTGTGGCAATTCCCCCTCCCCAGGATAAACCAGGAGACCAGGAGGCTTCCTGCAACGAGGCTACTGGTTCACATCCAATTTGGCTGCTCTTTAAACGTACCTGAAAGGCACGGATATGAGGGGAGGTTTAAGGACAGTTTCAGGGATCCAAACTGTACTCAGAGCTCATCCCAACAGGAAGGGGTGAAAAAGAAGCAGAAATAACACAAAACCCTCCAGCTCCAGCACAACTGTCCTAATTCAGCAGAGATTTCCCCTCTGATCTACATTCCCAAAGGTCCAGTCAAGTCTCTTCCCTGGAGTCAACTGATGGGCAAAGAAACCCCAGGAGTGCCAGGAATGCTGCCTTCCCCATCTCCAGGCACCCTTGGTTGGGAGGGAAATGGAAAGGAAATCACTGACCCCTAATAAATAACCTCAATTCTACAACTTCTCTCCTCCTTTGCCTCCTGCCCAACAGTAACAGACCTGGTTATGAAGACGAAGCGGACACCAGCAGATATGATGAGAGACAGCCAGAGTTACTTCCTAACTGACGGAGAATGGAAGTTCACCAACCTGAGCATCATTGAATACATGGAAGACCTGGATGACGGACAGTTTTCTGTGGTCACCTACATGGTATGGCAGTACTTTCATGTTAGATTGCACTGATACGCCACCGAAAGGGTGAAAAAGCATGAAACGATGATTTTCTACATTAGAGAACAAGCATTTGCCGAAGGCAGTAAGTTATCTCCTGCTCACCCGAATTTTGTCCATCTTCTCCAACAGATTTCCATGGAGAGACGACCCACCCTGTACATTTTGAACCTGATCCTGCCAACATGCGCCCTGTATCTGCTGGACATGGCTGTGCTGTTTGGACCCAGCTCTCTCGAGGAGAAAATCAATTTCCAGATTGCCATCATCCTCGGCAGCTCCATGTTAGCTGTGATTCTCAACAACATCCTCCCAACGTCGTCCAACAGGCCCCCTGTAATAGGTACTCATCTGAATAGAAACTAGCTGGGTTTTACACAGGTACCAACCCTGAAGTTGGGACCTAAGCCTGAGCCTCACCCTTGAACACTGCCAGGGATGGGGCAGCCACAGCTTCCCTGGGCACCCTGTGCCAGCGCCTCAGCACCCTCACAGGGAAGAGCTTCTGCCTTAGATCTAATCTAATTCTCCCCTCTGTCAGTTTAAAGCCATTCCCCCTTGTCTTATTCCCACAGGACCTTGCCCAAGGCTCCGCTCCAGCTTTCTTGTAGCCCCTTTAGGCACTGGAAGGCTGTTTTCTTTGTTTCCCTATTGTCCTGCAGTGGTGTTTTTCCTGGGCACCTTCCTCCTCATGATCATGGCTGTGTTAGACACCTTCCTCCTGTTGCACCAGCAGCACAAATCCCTCTACTTAGACAAGGTTCTCAGAAGCTTCCAGCAAGGTAAAGAAACCCACAGCCTCTTACACCAGTCGGTTTGGTGCATTTTACTGCAGGTTCCTTTGGGCGAGGGTGGGTTTCAGTTGTGGCAGTCACCCACCAACACTGACATCTGCTCTTCACAGACGTGCACACCAAGCTGACAATGAGAACCATGGCCAACCAGAGCACGAAACACCCAGCCAAGGACAGTGCCCAACAGCAGAACCTTCCCAAGAAGGCCCAGGAAAAGGGGCAACCACCCAAGCGCCACTGGCAACCACAGGAGCAGGACCTGTTTCTGCCTGTTCTGGAGAAGGTGCTTCTCTACAGCCACTTCTTCCTGTCCCTGGTTTTCTTTGCTATTATTTCTGTTAAATGGAGCAGCTGAAGCCCAGCTCTGGGTCAGTTGCTCTCCCCGGTTTCGCTTCTAACCCCTCCTGTGTAGCTTTTATCCAGCTTCACTTACTGAGCCGCAGTTGCTTCCTAAATACCATTACAAAGACAAATCCACAGGCTCTGAGATCTGCATGCTTAGCACTTCATGCTCTGTTCAGCAGAACTACATCTGTTCTTAAAGCACTGTGTGGCCACCAAGGCGTGTCAATAAAGCAGTTGTGAAATCTAGGGCTAACACCTTCATCCTATTCATCTGGAATTCTCACCACGCATGACCAATGGAAAGGGATTTAATGCCCATCTCTTATGGAGATGTTTCCATTTTGGGGAAAGGTGTTGAAGAATCCCACCTCAGATAATGAAATAAACCAGTGCAAGTCTGAAGCATTTGTTTCTGTGAGTTTCAGTGAGCTCTGCACCATCCAAAAACCAGGGACAGAGAGAACAGGATCACCAAGGTTAAAGAGGTGATAGCTGGGATGTTTCAAACAGATAAAAGCTCTTTTTTAATGTATCTCAACACATCCACATTCCTTCAACTCCTTTTGCAATTGGCTGCACATCACAACCAACCTAGAAACCAACCCTAGACCTTCTTCCTGTAGAACTACTGAGACATGTCTCCCACTGCACCGCACATCACTACTAAATACACCCCAACATCATAAATGGCTTTATACCTTCAACTCCTATGCGGCTAGTTGCCTGCAATGGCAGAACTACATTCCCTGCACCACGCAGTTACACAGGTGAGGAGACAGTTTGATTTCATTACAACAAGACTCAGTTTGATCAAGAAAGGATCCTGTCCTTGCTACAAAACCAAGCTCACAGGTAGAAAAGACAAAATCCAGTGTGCTGTTTGCAAGCTCCATGTATTGTTCCTCAAGACCTTGCAACCTCATGTCCAAGATCTAAGGCACAGACAGGAGGAGGAGTACTTTATTTAGATGACCACAGAGTCTGACAGTCGTTAAACAAACTGCTTCTGGACAAGTTTACAGATCAGCAATTGGTTTGTGGGGCCAGTACGGGTATTTCTCCTTGTCCAGTCTGGTTTCAGGGAAGGCTTCATGCAAGTCTTCAAACGTCATCTGTTCAAAGGGGATCATGCTTTTGAGCTTCTGGAGCTTGAAGTGGGAGCAGAGATAAAACATGTTATAAATCATTTATCAGCAAGAAAGAGCAAAGCACACCCCCAAGTAAGAGCAAGGTGTGTGCCAGGCTGGGTTAAAGGCAATATTCTCTAAGCAAAGCCCAGACTTACCTCTTGCTCGTACTGGGCAATACGAGCTTTGGAAGCTTGCACATATTCCGCAGCATTCTTTGCCTGCAGGGAAGAAGAGGACACCGTGGACATGGTTATGATAAAGACAGCGACCTAGAGTGAACCTGCAACCCCGTGCTTGAAGCTGGCATTAAAACTCATCATCATTACACTAGGTTAAGTTGACCAAACCCCAAGCAGCCAAACCATTCCATGTGCAGAGATCCTCCTGCTCATCCAAAAGCCAGAGACGTGTATAAAGACCAGAGCATGCTCCAGCTCAGGCTGCCCTGCCTGTGCAGATGCACACAGAGAACATCCCTTCCCTCTCACCCTTTTCCATCTCCACAGACAACCCTGGCATTAGGGAATACTTCAAATACTTACAGCCTCCTGCTCTTGGGCATTGATTTTGGAAGTCTGTGTATCCACTGGCTCAGGAATCTTTAGTGCACTGAACTGTCAATTAAAAGAGAACATCTTAGTTACACAGTTTGATTAAATAACCCTTCACACCGAGCTCATTCCCCCTGGCAGCAGGGGAGCATTCCCTCCTTTCTTCCCAGGATATACTCACCACCATGTCAGTTAATAGGCTTTCTAAAACTGATCAGTGTGACTGCGAGCTTAAAGCCATTAGTCTGTACTGAATACCACTGCCAGGGCACACAGTGCTACACACATTCACTGCAAAGAGCAATGGAAGGAAGCAAGAAAGTCTAATAGCAAAGAGTTGACATACTGCAGACTGTTTTTAGCCAGGACAAAGCTTCCAGGTCCATCTGAGGCCAGTGAGTCCTCCCAGTGCCAGGAGGTCAGTTTTCATAGTGCCAGTGACACCACCTGCCTGTCAGCAATAGCCTTGCTCCTGCCTTTCAATTCCTGCTTGCAAACAGGGTGACGAGCCCTGCAGGCAACGCATTTCAGTGTTTTGCTACCTCCAGCCATTCAGTGAGTTAGAGAAATAGGTCAGATGTTTGCTTCAGGAGAGGCACTGCCTGAATACACTGCTGCAGCCAAAAGAACGTATCAGGTTTTCTTTCACCAGCCTTCTCAGTGCACAGTGCCACAGGCTCCCTCCTGAAAGATGGCACTGAAGTGAGCGCCTCGGGGTTAGTGATGCTGACTTGCAGGATGTAAAGCCAGGGCCCCTTGTAGCCAAAACCAACCTCCTCTGCCAATCCTGGTGTTTTCCTCCCACCACCAAAGACATTTCCCATTTAAACTTCCATAAAGCAACACGCTGCTGACAAAGACTGACCTTCTTCTGAAACTCATCCACCATGCCAGCTTTAGCAACAGCAGACTTGTAGTAGGCCCAGTCAATGGCCGGGGGCTTCTCTGGCAGGGCAGCCAGCCTAAAGGGAGAGATGACAGCAGTCACAACCAGCGCTGGCATCATCATTCCAGCTCTGCCACAGTTACTTAGAGCCTGCTAAGTTTAGTTTAGCTCTTTTCACCTCCCTCATTAGCAAGCAGCAATGAACCACCAATGAAACAGGCTCCTCTATACAGAGAAGAAGAGCCCAGCCTGCAGCCCCGCTCCATTGGAAACCACTGTGCAGCATCTCTGTGAGCACCCTTGTAAAAGGATCAGGCAGTTCTCACAGCATTGGGCTAGAGGCGATCAGCAACATTAAAGGGACCTGCGTCCAGCAGTGGCTGGTGATGGATTTAAAGCGTCATGAATCTGTACAGCATTTAACAGACAACAAGGCACGGGTTTGGTTCTGAACACCAAGCTGCTTGCACAGAGCCCGTTTTTACACTTCAGCCACTGTTTTACTCCAAGGAGGATTATGTAAAGATGATTTGCCGCAAAAAGCCACCGGCAGCCTTGAAGGTGACCTGTTTAAAGCCCGTGAGGACACTCCTGTAAGACCATAGCTACCAACCCCGGCTTAACCCAGCACACAGACGGCTCAGCTGAGGGGCTGAGCCGCCCCACGGGCAGGAGCGGGGCAGGCACTCACCGGGCCGACAGCGCATCGCTGCGGGTCTTCAGGGCGTTGAACATGGCCCTCTGGTTCGGGGGCACCCTCTCGGCGAAGGCCGCCCAGTCAATGGCCTTGATGGCAGCTCTGCGCCCCGCCATGCTTCCGGCTGCGCCACGGAGAGACAGCACCAGGCGGGTCACAGTGCGGGGAGGGCAGCGGACGGCAACCGCGGGCACGGGGAGGGAGGCGCCGGACCGGGAACGCGGCACCGGGACACGGGGACAACGGGACACGGAAGCACCAGGGACACGGGGACACCGCGGTACAGGGCCAACAGGACACGGGGGCACCGCGACAAGGGGACACGGGGGTAACGGGACACCGCGACACGGGGGTAACTGGACACGGGGCTAACTGGGCAACGGGACAATGGGACACGGGGGCACCGCGACAAGGGGACACGGGGGTAACGGGACACTGCGACACGGGGCTAAGGGGGCACCGGGAGAATGGGACACGGGGCTAACGGGGCACCGAGACTAACGGGCCACGGGGGCACCGGGCCGCGGGGATACCGCTCCCAGCCCATCCCAGCCTCGCTCCCCCTCCATGTCCCCCGTCCCCCCCCCCTCCAACAGACCCGTCCCGTCCCGGAACCCCAGGGCCCGCTCCCCAGCCCCGCTCTCACCTTCACTGACCGCCACCGAGCACCCCCGGAAGTCCCGGCCCCGCTGCCCAACCAGGCCTCAGCCCCACCGGAAAGCGTCGCTCCCGTCCGTGCCCGCCGCCGCCGCCGCCCGGAAGCGCTCCCCGCGCCGGAAGCGGGGCGGTGATGGCGGTGCGGCGGCGCTGAGCGGCTCCGCCATGGCCGAGCTGGCGGCGGCAGCGGAGGGGCCGCCGCGGGGCCGCACGCCCAGCCCGGGCCCCGGGGGAGCGCCGGGGCCGCCCAGTCCCCGTGCGGCCGGAGCGGCGGCGGGCTCCGGTGCGGCGCTGTCCCCGCCCGGAGCGGCCCGGCCGCCCGCCGCCGCCTCCAAGTGGGTCCGGCTGAACGTGGGCGGCACGTACTTCGTGAGCACCAGGCAGACGCTGTGCCGGGAGCCCAAGTCCTTCCTGTGCCGCCTCTGCTGCCAGGACGGGCCCGAGCTCGGCTCCGACAAGGTGAGGCCGCGGCGGGGACCGGCCCCGGCAGCCGGTGCCGCCGGGGAGCAGCGCCCCGAGCCCGGTGTATGGGTTCGGTGTCCGCAGGGCCGCCACCCCTTCATCCCCATGCACGGCCCTGGCCTCGCGGTGTGGCGAGGCCCATCTCCACAGCAGCCGCACTGCCGTGTTCCGCAGGGCACACGCCGTCTCCTCGTCCCATGGCCTGCCCCACCGTTACACCTGGGCTTAGGGTCTGCCCAGTGCCGGTGACAGCCGGGTGCTGCAGGCACCGTGCCCTCCATCTCCTGCCAGGACACAGGTCCCCCTCAAGGAGCAAACCCGCAGCGCTCCCGTGGTGGTTACAGCAGGGAGGGAACAAGGAAGAAGCTTTCCTAGAAATAAGAACGTGGTTTTGTAATCCTGTATTCCACTTTGCTGTCATAAAGACCGCAGCACTTGTTCCTTCTGAGTGCACAGCTTGGAACTCACTGCCGTTTGTCATAAGGGTTTTGCAGACAGTTACCCTTGTACTTGCAGGTGTGCTGTAGGAGCTGCAGCACCAGGTTTTGTACCTGGTTTCTGGGTAGGGCAGACTGAGTGTGGTCTTTGGGCACTCTGTTCAGAGCTGAATGGAAGTTGGGATCAAAATCAGAGTCACTGCTTCAGTGAGCAGAGGAGGTGAT